ATAGTTATAGCTTCATTCAAATTTCTACTACTAAAGACACACCACAAAAAAGAAAAAACCACCCACCAGCTTGCAACTACAGTGACTTGGAAGAACTTCTGAGCCTTCCAGAAAAGAACTTAAAATTGCCGTGATGAAAAAACTGATGGAAGTCATTAAGGAAAACAACGCTTAGAAGAATGAAATTGAGTCCCTAAAGAGGGAAGTAAAAGAAATGCAGGAGATCAAAGAATTAATGGAGGCACTAAAGAACTCTGGGAAAAGCAATGAAAGCAGAATAGATGAAATGGAAGAACGAATAAGTACTCTTGAAGACACAGAAATAAAAAGAACCAAAACAGAAAAAGAAAGAGAAGTATGAAGGGAAAAGACTGAAGAAAGACTCAGGGAACTATCTGACTCCATGAGGAAAGGAAATATGAGTTATAGGCATCCCAGAAGGAGAGGAGAGAGATGTAGGAACAGAGAAAATATTCAAGGAAATAATTGAAGAGAACTTCCCAAACGTGAAGAAGGAGCTGAAAATTGATATACAAGAAGCAAGAACACCAAGCTTCCATGACAAAAGGAAAAATACAGCAAGACACATAATAGTAAAGCTCCCAAGAATCCAGGACAAGGAAAAAATAATGAAGCTGACAAGAGGGAAGAAACAGATAACTTTCAAAGGAAAACCAATCGGACTGACATCAGACTTCTCCAAAGAAACACAACGGGCAAGGAGAGAGTAGAGGGACATAGTCCAACAGACTCCAAGAAAACAGATGCCAACCAAGAATACTCTATACCACAAAGCTCTCCTTCCTCTATGAAGAAAGAATAAGGACCTTCCCAGACAAACAGAACTCTGGAATTTCATTACGACTAAACCCCCACTCCAAAAAATACTACAAGGAGTCCTAAAGCCAGAACCTCAGAGGGATGAATAACAATGAAAGAAGGCAAAAAAGTTATTAAAAGAACAAATAAATAAAATCAAAGGAAAGACAAACACAATGGCAAATACAGATGCTAACATATCAATATTAACTCTAAATGTAAATGGACTAAACTCTTCAATAAAAAGACACAGAGTCGCAGGCTGGATTAAGAAACAAAACCCAACCTTTTGCTGTCTCCAAGAAACATATTTAGCTACAAAAGATAAAAATAGACTCAAAGTTAAAGGATGGAAAACAATCCTACAAGCAAATGGACCAAAAAAGAAAGCAGGAACAGCTATACTTATATCAGATAAAACAGATTTCAAACTCAAAAAGGTAAAAAGAGACCCCACAATGTATCCATAAGATAATTCACCACGACCAAGTAGGATTCATTCCAGGGACACAAGGATGGTTCAACATCCGAAAATCGGTCAACGTTATCCAACACATCAACAAAAAGAAATATAAAAACCATATGATAATATCAATAGATGCTGAGAAAGCTTTCGACAAAGTGTAACACATGTTCATGATAAAAGCCCTTGAAATTCTTGGGATACAAGGAACATACCTCAACATCATAAAGGCCATATATGACAAGCCAATAGCCAGTATCATTCTCAATGGTGAAAAGCTGAAAACATTTCCATTAAGATCTGGAACAAGACAAGGATGTCCACTCTCACCACTGCTTTTCAATATAATACTGGAAGTCCTAGCCAGAGCAATAAGACAAAGACATCCAAGGAATCCAAATAGGAAAAGAAGAAGTCAAACTATCACTATTTGCAGATGATATGATAATATACATAGAGAACCCTAAAAACTCCACAGAAAAACTAATTCAACTCATCAATCAGTTCAGTAAAGTGGCAGGATACAAAATCAACACGCAAAAGTCAGTAGCCTTCCAATACACAAACAATAAATCTGATGAAGAAGTCAAGAAAACCATCCCTTTTATTATCAAAACAAAAAAAAATCAAATGCTTGGGAATAAATCTAACAAAAGAGGTAAAGGACCTATACAAATAAAACTATAAAACACTGTTAAAAGAAATAGAAGAAGACACAAAAAAATGCAAAGACATCCCCTGCTCATGGATTGGAAGAATAAATATCATTAAAATGGCCATCCTACCAAAGGCAATATACAGATTCAATGCTATTCCAATAAAAATTTCAGTGTCATTCTTCAAAGAAATAGAACAATTATTGATAAAATTCATATGGAATCACCCAAAACCCCAAACAGCCAAAGCTCTCCTGATAAAAAAAGAAGGGAATGGAGGCATCACACTCCCAGACTTCAAACTCTACTACAAAGCCATAATCATCAAAACTGCAGGGTATTGGAACAAGAACAGACACACAGACCAATGGAATTGAATAGAAAATCCAGAAATAAACCCACAGATTTATGGTCAACTAATCTTTGACAAAGGAGCAAAGAATATGCACTGGAGCAAAGAAAGTTTGTTCAATAAATGGTGGTGGGAAAACTGGGTCGCTACATGCAAAAGAATGAAGCTTGACTACTACCGCACACTATGCACAAAAACCAACTCAAAATGGATTAAAGATCTAGACATAAGACCTGAAACCATAAAATACACAGAAAGAAATATAGGGAAAACACTACATGATATGCACATCAAAGACATCTTACAGACACATCACCCAAAGCAGTGATAGTGAAGGCAAAGATAAACAGCTGGGACTACATCAAATTAAAGAGCTTCTGCACAGCAAAAGTCACAATAACAAAAACAAAGTGAAACCCCACCGACTGGGAGAACATTTTTGCACACAACACTAATGATAAAGGACTGATCACAAAAATCTACAAAGAGCTGATGAGACTCAACAACAACAAAGAAAATAATCCAGTCAAAAAATGGGCAGAAGAGCTAAAAAGAAACTTCTCTGAAGAGGAAATGCAAATGGCCAACAGGCATATGAAAAAATGTTCAACATCACTTGTAATCAGGGAAATGCAAATCAAAACTACAATGAGATACCATCTTACACCAGTGAGAATGGCACATAACAAAAAAACTGGCAACAACAAATGTTGGCGGGGTTGTGGAGAAAAAGGAACTCTCCTGCACTGTTGGTGGGAGTGCAAACTGGTCCAGCCCCTATGGAGAGCTGTGTGGAGATTTCTGGACCTACTAAACATAGAGCTTCCCTATGATCCAGCAATTCCACTCCTAGGTATTTACCCAAAGGACATAGAAACATCAATTCCAAAGAACACCTGCACCCCTATGTTTATAGCAGCACTATTTACAATAGCTAAGCTTTGGGAACAACCGAAATGCCCAAAAATAGATGACTGGATCAAGAAGATGTGGTACATATACACGATGGAATAATACTCAGCATTCAAAAAAGATAAACACATGCAACTTGCAGCAACATTCATGGAGCTGGAAGGGATCATGCTCAGCCAAATAAAAGCCAGAAAGAAAAAGAAAAATACCGGATGGTCTGACTCATAGCAGGAATCTAGAAAACTTAAATAAGGGACCAGGAAAAAGAATAACTATAAGGAAGAAAATATTAAAATCAACAAACAACTATGAACCAGAGACACTCTATGGGGGTGGGGGTGGGGAAAGGAGGGCTTGGGGTCAAAATAAGGGGGTTGTAATTGTATTGGGAATATAAAAATAAAATAAAAAAAAATTTCTACTACTTCTCAAGTTATCTTTAATATTTATATGCTTTAGCAAAATATATTCTTTAAAATGGGATGCCATTTGCTGAATAATTTTGAAAGTGGGAAAAATTCATAAATATTATTTTACTCTGGTTTTTGCCTTAAATAGATTCTTGTTAGTTCCATTTGTTTTGAATTCTTTTTCATATGATAGCAGGATTTCCACATTACATTCTTTCTTTCTTTTTTTTTTTTTTTTCAGGCTTTCATTGCATCTGTGTGCCAGATCTTTGGTTCATCCTTTAATGTTTCACCTTTCAGTGTAATTTTGTTTCAGATGTGTCTTTTCAAATCAACATCAAGTCATATAGTTTTAAACTTTTTCTTGAAGTTTGGAAACATACAAAAATACATATAGCATAAGTGTTAGAGACCAATTATCACAAAGTGAAGTCACCCATACACTTATCATCCAGGTCAAGAAACAGAACATAACCATCATCCCAAAAGTTTTATTTCCCTCCTAATCTCTATCTGCCCCAATATATTATTATCTTGAGCAATATATTATTATCTTACCTCAGAGAAATAAGAGCAAAAGAAAAAAGTTTAGTGAAAACTGGGGAGAGAAATGATAATGACTGGGGGAAATCTGAGTAGAGAAAAATAAAGGACATGAATGCATACAGTTTCAAAAGCTGTAATAGTGATAAATATCAACAAGACTGAAAGTACTCAATAGACTTTCAAATAAGGCTATGTGCTTTTGGGATTAAGCTAAAAGGAGAAAGGTGATTGAATCTAAATTGTAAACCAACATTTCAGAAGAACTTCCCTTTTACTTTTCTCCAAGATTTTCTTATTTCATCTAACAACATATTACAATTTTTTTCCACTAAAACAATCATTAAAAGAGTACCAAATATAGGACCTTCCTGGTGGCCTAGAGGTTAAGTCTCAGCACTATCATGCTGTCATTGCTATGGCCTGAATTTGATCCCTGGCCAGGAAGCTAACCCACATATGGTGCAACAGACCTCTCCTATCTTGCCCACTGCTCCCCTCAGCAGTGTATTTCAGTACATCTACCCGTTTTGCTCCACAGTTTGTCTCTGATGAATTCTTTCATCCCCCACACCTCTGGTCTACACTCCAGTTCTTCTGTGCATAAATAAAGAAATCTTTAAAAAAGAGTACCAAAATAACTGTAACCTTTTACTGAGCATCTATTAGGCCCTAGGCACTATTACAGATTATATAGTATTATTCAGTCTTTATCCTGATAAACTGGGGTTTGAAAAATTTAATTCAAAAGTTACACACTGAGTTAAGTTTTTAAATTTTAATATAAACCACAAGTTCTTTGAAAAGTTAATAGCACTGAACTCTATTCACTTTCTTATTAACAGGCATTATTTCCTCAAGAGGGAAAATAAAAACCCTGGGAAATTAAAGAAAAGATAGAGGAGAATATCAAATGGTGACAATTTTTATCAACCTCATCTACACCTTAATTTTGAGACATCCTCTGTTTGGGAATTAAGAGAGGTTACAAGATAGAAGTTAGAAGCAACCAAGCACTTTTTATTTAAAGTATCTCTTGTCCATGGAATCCAGCTAAAAGACTCTATGAATTACTAAAACATCCCACAAGCCAACTGCTTTCAAAAAGACTTCTATCACTAGTAAAAGATGGTGCCATTAGCATGTTATGATAAACACTTTGTGCCATTAGAACACTCTTACCAACTGAACACAACCAACTCTTTAACACATCAGTACACAGGTAAAAAGCTAAATCAGTCTAATAACCAACCTGTGATCAGAGTGAAATCCCGTAATAATCAGCTTGCTGAACCCACGTTACATGCTACACAGAAGGTACAGTGGTCCTCGGTATTGCCATCTGCCAAGTCTGAGGACACAGTTTCGCAGGGCCTCTCTAACAGGGTTCTGAAATCTAGGTCCCTCTCTAGGTGTCAGGCCACTCCTTCACTCCATCAGAGAACTTCATTGCAACAGAAGCAGAGAGCCCCGGGCTCACCGTTGTGCCACTCCAAATCTCAGAAAACATCTTCATTGGACCTCAACAAAAAGGCGTCATCATCACTGGAGTTCAAACAAACAGTCTCAAACTCACAATTACCAGGCTCCACAGCTCGAACTTCACCGTCCCAACACCTTTGCTGGACATCACCTTCACTGAAGTCTAATCAAAGAATCACAGGTTCATCATCATCTACCTTCAAACATCAAGAAAAACCTCCCTTAGATAACCTCTGTACAAGATCATCTTTGGGATCTACTAAAAAAACCTTTAATGCACCCTTACCTCAGTCAAAGCCTCAGAAAACAACTTCCTTGGACAGCTTTCCAGCACCCTTAATAGAGCGCAATCCAGCATATTTGAGCACAGCATCATTCAAATCTATGCCTCAAACAAATGACTTCTTTCAGACTTCGTTTTCATTGGAACCCAGTCAAAAGGCTTTGGGCTCACCACAACCTGACCCCAGACCTCAAAAAGTATCTGTATTGGGCTCTGATTCATGTTTTCTAAGCTTACCACTGTCCCCGTCAAAACGAAGACAGTCCTCTTTACCACATTCTGTCCATCAGACTCAGAGTTTGCCATTGTTCCGACCCAAATCTCAGTCACTGCTTACACTTGATCGTGACCTCAGGACCCTTAGTTCATCAGTTTGTCATGTCAAGTTTCAGAATACCGCTTCACCAAATGACAAACACAGAGCCTTGTCTTCACCCCAACCCAAAACTAACATCTCAGGTCACTCACTCTCAGGCTCCAAATATACCATCAGGAACATAGCTGCTTCAAAATACGCCTCTAGACTCCAGAGTAAAATCAGCTTTGATCGCTGTGCAAAGACAGAATCACATAAAGAAATTCCATGGACTATTGATTATATGTATCCGTGCGTTGTTAAAGGTGGAACTCTCCCTGATGATGTTATAAATAAAATTGTCAGTTCTGTCTCCAAGACCAGAATTCAGAAGGATCTCTCTAGGCAGATTGTCTTTCGAAGAATGAGGGGAAGGCCAAATCCTCATCCTGGTCCCCGCCTTTCATCAAATTATATGGTTTGTTTAACTTGTGCTTCCTGCGTAACTCAATGTCACCATCTTACAGGAAGGAAAGATCCTCGTGGTGCGACACTATTTGTCATACCATCTCCTGAGGTCAATTCTGAGGGGGAAATACAGGTGAAAATAATTCTTATTCTTTCTCTACCAGAGACTTCTTGCTCATCTTGTCTTCCATTCTCTGTGAAAGAAAATCAGCCTGATGAAACCCTTGAAGACAACCTTGAAGGAATGGAGAAGATATCACAATTTTTTCCTGCATCTGAAACTGATGTCATTACTACGAAGAAAAAGTGGCCGACAGTAGCCCCTGAAAACAGAGATATAAACCAACAGTCCAAGGCTGTTGACTGGCTGCTTTATGTTAAGAAAAGTAGTGCTTCTCCATCAGAGTCTCTGCTCCCCTCCGCCGCCTCCTCCAAATCTTCCTCCTCGTCGTCTTCGTCATCATCTTCCTCCTCCTCTTCTTCCAAAGCACCCTCCCCACCCCTTCCTCCCAAAGAGTCTACCACATCTAACGTCTCAGGTTGTGTGTTTTCTAAGGTAATTACTTACCACCGGTTGCCTCCAGGGGTCTCCTGGCTTGAGTTTGTAAGTAGTAAAAATCACCAGCTACTTCCTAGAAAACCACATCTTAGTCAATTATCACCTCCCAAAACAATGCCTAAGAGGAATAGCACCGTAGTAAGAGGGGCAAAAGGATCAAAGATACTGTTCAAAATTTTCCAGGCAAAGTTTCAAAATGAGAGAAATTTTCATTAAATTAACTTCTTGGTTTCTTTGGAAATGATGACCTTGTAGTTCTTTGAGAATAGGTTTTATTTCCTATCATGCTTATTGAAATTCTGAGCAATAACTAGTGTGAATTTGTACTTAGCTGATGAAACACCTAGTGAAGGAAACTATTACTCCTAGGTCTACATTCCAGTGAAGGAATAGACTATAATTTTCTAGAAATCAAAAGTAAAAAAACATGTTTTCAACTAACTGTCTGGCTTATAATAGCCACTGTATAATCATAGTTAAATGAATTTATTATAATTGGCCATTGAGTGCAAATATCTGTCTTGCTCTGAACAGTATCTAATTCATTGTTATTCTCCTTCCTTGTAAGACATGATGATGGCAGTATTCTTAAACCAATTTATACTAATGTTTCCCAATCTCTAGTGAAAATTCAGATTATGTTCAACAGGTAAGAATTTATATAGTGATGCATTCTTCCAGTTATGCATTCCTAGGGAAAATTCCTCTATGCTAGGATCCCACACACTGAAATCCAAGAATTTGTTGGACCTTAGCTAGCAAATCTAAGGAGAGAATCACTAAATGGTACAGATAGCCCTACCTCATGTAAACTGTGCCAGTATTTAATTATGGGCTCTAAAGTAACTTGTTCATCACTTCTATCTATACAACAAAAAATGGGCTAATAAAAACGTTAAAACAATGTTTTTGTTCCACTGGGTCTACTAGTAGTGGGGACAGATGGGAGTTGTATTATCTGCTCACCTTAAGTGACCATTTCTATCCCCAAAGCTGTTATAGTATTTCTTGAAAAGACTGATGACTCACAATTCTGCTTCACCACCCTCATCTGTATGATCGCCAGCTGACACACTCTACATATCCTATTTAGAACATTGAACAGGCATCTCAAACTCAGTGTGAGAAGACCGGAATGGATCATCCTATATTTACAATTTGAATCTTAACATTTACCATCTTATGCTCCCTGTATCACTGTTTCAGTGAATGTACCACTAGTCACCATGAAGTCATGTTTGATTGTTTTCCTCATTACCTGCTCTGCTCCAAGCTCATGGGTTCTAAGCCCTTTAAATCTCCAGCACCCAACTTTTTTCACCAAAACTTTGCCACTATCCTGGTTATGACCGGAGCCATTAGTCACCTGGATTACTGCAATACTGAAGCATGCACTTTAACTTTTGAAAGCATTTATGAGACACACATTATCAAATGTGTGTATATAAATATAAATTTATATGTATATATAAATATAAATATAAACCAACAGTTTTGCTGTCAAGAAACATCTTCTCATCTACACATTTTTATCCTGTAGTACTCTGTTTTGTTTTGATATCATCTGGGAAGTCTGTTTCTGATCCACTGGCAAAGGTGTCAGTTGGCCTTCTATTTCTATATATTCTGTACAGAACTTTGTAGTGCTCAAACATATTATCATACAAACATTTCTTGTCTTTACTCACTAAACTAAAAACTCTTTTTCAACATTTTATTTCTGTTTTGTTTTAATCTAGTCCTTAGAATAGAGTCCATAACCTAAAATATGTGTTGATATTGACTTAACACTATCAAGGCTCTTTATCTGTTTTAATTCTCTGAAATACATAATGTTTCCCCTAAGATTAATATCAGATTGTTTATTATGACTAGTCTGCTGAGAACATATATAAAAATGTTACTGATGACAGCAGTTAGCCTTGTCCTATTTCTGATGTTAAAAGTGTTGCTTTCTAATATTTCTGTATTTAATATATTGTTGGCTGATTATAGCTGACTGGTGATGATGAGAAAGAATTTATATATGTTATAATATGTTCAAGACTTTCTCCAAACCATTTATTAAACCCTTGACACATGCTTTATTCATCCCAAACTTCTCTCTTCTGACATGTGTCACTTTCATAACTGCTTGTTTAATATGTTCTCTATAGGACTAAACTCCACGAGTAGAGTCCTGTGTCTATCATGTTTATCGCTAATTCTTCAGGACGTAGTGATACCTGCCACATAATAGGTATTCAATAAATATTTATGGAATTAAATTAAACTGACTTTTTCAACTGATTTTTATTTATTCTAATTTTTACTTGTTTAATTTTCCATCTTTTAGCTTGTTTTCAAAACTTTGTCTCTATGTAGTTTCCTTTCGCTTCTCTTTTTCCCCCCATAATTCAGTTACTTTTAACTCTGCATTGGCAGTTATTTATTCTGTTCTTAATGCTAAGTTTCTTCTTTCAAAGCTTTTTCAAAAGAATTATTTAATGTTTTCAGATTTGAAAATAAAATTGCATGGAAATTATGGAGGAAAATGCATGGAAATGAATATCCAACTCTTCCAGTTTCTACTAGGATGTCCACAGAATTCCAGAGTAGTGGCTAACATGTGTTGTGCCAGAAAGTTCAAGAGACTTCTGCCAGAAGAGATTAGATTTAAAAAGGGCAGGGGATTTAGAATTCACTATAATTCAAGAAAAGAGCACCTGAAAAATAATAGAATATTATTAATAGCATCTCATTAACACCCTTTTCCTTAATTGGACAGGGGCTGGACATGAGAACAGACTACATAGCTATTGGGAGAAAGTGGATCCTATGAGCTTTCTCATATTTTGACCAAACTAATTCATGTGAAGTGCTACGACATAACTGACTGGTAATTTGACAATATTAAAATCTTAATATACTTAACCATTTTCCCTGTGTTCATCTTGCTTGGAATATATTTTATTTTTTAAAGATTTATTGATTGATTGATTGATTGATTGATTGATACATACATATATACAAGCACTGGGTACAGTCAGAAGCACGGGAGGGTGAGAGAATTCACCAGAGCCACAGCGGGGAGCAGAGCAGGCAGAAGGACCGAAGTACACTGCTGAGGGGAGCAGCGGGCGGCAGGAGAGGTCTGCGCGCCATGTGGGACCCTCCTCCGGTGGCTGGGGAGCAGCCGGGAATCGAACCGACGCTGCAGAGGCTGCGAGCAGCTTTGCAACCCAGCGCTCAACCGCTGCGCCACCAGGGAGGCCCGCTTGGAATATATTTTAATGGAATCATCACGTCTCTTTAGAGTTATGTAAACAAGCCTCGTATTTATTTATTATGGAGATTTGAAAATATCTAGGTGTTCATTTTATAGAAAATGTCTACAAGCACTATGATCTACTTGTGTGATGCTTTTTCTGGTGAAAAAAATTTGGTTTCTAACATAGCACCTGTATTTATTTTAGAACTACAATTCTTAGGAAAATATCTTGCTTGGAACCATTGGGCATGAATAGTAACCCTGAGCATGTGTTGGAAGAAGGAAGTGAAACACAAAAAAGCACTCTAAGTTTTAAACAGGACTGTCTCTGAGAGAGAGCAAAATTCTGAGAGAACGCAAAAGGAGAGATGTCATTTGTGACCTGTCATTACTGAAAACATAGATTATAAGATTATATACAGTGACCTTATGAATATAATAAATGGAAATATAAATGAAAAAAATTATGCTTGTACATATGAAATTATGCTTGTACATATGAAGTTGTGCATATGTATATGATTTATATAAAATCTATTTCACTTGAATGAGAAAGATGTAGTGACTAAGTAAATATTGAAATGTTGAATAAAGGTGGTTATTAGAGGGAAATAGTTATAATGGAATGTCCAGGAAATGAATATTTTTTCCATTTTTTAATATTTTCAAAACTTCAGTGAGAATTAATTATAATCAACAATTTAAAACAATGTTTTAAAAGTGAAAAATGAAACTTCTGCCTCCCATATTTTACATGATTTATTGATATTTTTAACCACATAGTAAGTGACTTCCTTGATCCTTGTATTTGCTGGCAAAATTCACATCACCTATAATAACTATACTGTTATTAACTAATGGATAGATACATTTAGGCAGAGTAATGATAGGTTCACCATTTTTGGGTTCAGAAACTCTCTATGATTGTCTCTGTCCTCCCTCCTTTTTTCTCTCTACTTTTCTCTCATTAAAAATGAAAAATTCAGGACCTCCCTGGTGGTGAAAGGGGTTAAGCACAGCGCTATGAAGCAGTCAGCAGCCTCTGCAGCATGAGTTCGAACCCTGGCCAGCCAGGGAGAAACACACATGGCAAAGCAGACCTTTCGTGTCTTGCCCACTGCTCCCCTCAGCAGTGTATTTCAGTCAGTCTGCCTGTTCTGTTCCCCACTCTGTCTCTGGTGAATCCTCTCACCCCCCGCATCTATGGCCTACACCCCAGTTCTTGTGTGCATCATTAAATAAATCTTTAAAAAAATGAAAAATTCAAAAGTTAGGAGATATAATATCTTTCTTGGATGCCACTTCAAAGAGAGAACTGCTAGTAATAATTTGGTATATCATTCCAAATTGACAGGTGCTATTCTATTCCTCCAACTTTTAAAAATACCACTGGTATCATTATATTCATTTTGATGTTACCTGCTCATATTATAGTTTTATATTTTTATTGTAAAACTTTTGCAAGTTGTAATAGTCCAGCCAACACTAAATATGTTGTATGAATCCAATATTTCCTTCTTAAAAGATGATGCTTCAAAGATTTTAATAAGTCCATATTTTGTGTATATAGGCAAATGTAAACATGCTGCATTAGTTCTAAAAAATAGGTGACAGTGTACACTATACCTAAAGGGCATACCTCCTAATTGCTAATTGGCCTTGATACCATATAGATTAAACTTGTTCTTTTAGTCAATCACTAGGAAAAATCCATAACTCAAGCTGTTACCCGTCTTGGTTAACGCGCTCATTTGAGTAGGACACTGCTCTTTTTGTCATCCTCTTTACCCCTGCCTGAATACCTAAACCCTTTCCCTAAGCTTTATGGGATAGTTTATCTTCAGCAAAATTTCCTGTATCACAACCTCAGCCTTTCTCTGATTATTTCCTTTCCAGTAAGCTAACTGGTTAATATCTAGGTATCTCCTCAAGATGCTGCATCCCTCAAATTTTACTTCAATATGCCTTTCCCCACTCTTTTTGAAGTAGGGAGTTTTGGTCCTGGAGTCTCACAGCTTTCCAACCCCTAACTCCTCACTCAGATTTAAATGTCATGTCATTTTTGGTGTCCTTCCTTATTCCTACTCCAGTTGGGATTTTCCTATGCTGCTACACTGCAGTCACCGCTGACAAGACACTACAGCCCTTTGTGTTGCTAAATATAATTTGCAATTCTCGATGTTCATCTCAGTTAAATTTTCAGCAGAATTTATTAGTTCATCCTTCCTAACATAATCTTCCTTGCACCCATTCACAGTACCAGATGATCCTGGTTTTTTTTTCCTAAGTCTTATTTGTTAACTTCCCTATTTATTACACTAATGCCTAACTACCACAATGTCTCAATATTCAATCCTTGGAACTCTTCTATCTATCCTTATTTTCACAGGGTGGCTTTTATTTTAATTTTTTTAAAGATATATTTTTTATTTATGCAAGTGCTAGGGTACACGCCAGATGTGCGGGAGGGTGAGAGGATTCACCAGAGACAGAGTGGGGAACAGAACAGGCAGATTGACCGAAGTACACTGCTCAGGGGAGCTGTGGGCGAGACAAGAGAGGTCTGCAGCACCATGTGGGATTCTCGCTGGCTGCTGGGATCAAACCTGCACTGCGGAGGCTGCGAACAGCTTCACAGTGAAGCTCTCAACTGCCT